GTGGGCTGTGCAGGGGGGGCGGAGGCCCCCCCCCCATCACTTCACACTGCCATCAATAGTATGGGTCGACCGGTATCAGGTCCACTGCCTGTTGTTTACATTCAGCTGCCAGTGCAAGATTCTGACGATGGATGTAAACAGAATATCGGTTCCTGATATCGGTTATCGGCCTGAAAGGTGGCCCATAATCAGTATTGGGTCTGAAAAAAACAAACATATGGGTTGACCTCAGTATATATATATATATAGATCTATATATAGATCTATATATAGATCTATATAGATAGATATAGATCTATATTTATATAGAGAGTTTTGTAAGGAATCTGCATGACTTTCAGCTAACACCTTTGTTAAAAGATAATTTTGGATAGTTTGGAGTGTATATCATGTATGTTATGAATCTGATCATTTAACATGTTTGTTTGGTGCCAATGCTGTCACATTAGTTATATCTGTAACTTTTAAATACCCAGACTTTCACAACATCTAGACTGGTATACAGGTATAGTGAGTGTTAATAAAAGTGTGCATGCCCTACTTTATGTACAATAACATTCCTATTTTGTTTCTGTGGAACTCTAATAAAAAAGTGGCTTCATCTCATGGTATCTGCAATTCAAATAATATACCCTGCAGTTAAGTGATTGAGGTATATTAAGATTGACTTTTGAGAAATGCCTGGCAGGTACAGACTGACTAACATTTACTGACCATGTACTCTTGGTTTTATTGTTTTTAGGTTCATCTGGTGGTATCTCCAAAATATGTGAGAATTTATGTTGACTGCCAAGAAATAGCTGAGAAACCAATTAAAGAACCTGGCAATATTACAACAGATGGATATGAAGTGCTTGGAAAACTAACAAAGGCGGACAAAAAATCTGCTCCGGTAACTTGTTTTACTTCCTTGACCAGCTACATAACTTATTTGACAATTCAGTTTTGATAGCAACAGGTTTATTGTTTCTTTTTAAAAGATCCCTAGACTGGCCATCTGGTAACTCTTTGATCAGAAGGGGTGTTGTGTCCAACTTTTGCAACTTTGCACATAGTCCCTAAAGAGTGAGTGCTGGTTAAAACACAGGACTTTCTCTTTTATAATTTTCCCACTGGCCTTTTTCTCATGTACAGGAATATAGCACAGTGTTTTTTTATACACTAAGACTGCATTTTATGGCCAGTTTGGCACCAGCAACACCATAAAAACGAATGCCTGCCTCTGTGCAGGTTCCTATTTTGTTCTGTTGTCATTTACTGTTTTTCCCTGATACATTTACACATATGGACATTTTTTTCACTTCTGTTGTAAAATGCTATGTTAAAGTAATACTAGTTTTGTGGCTGTTGTCATGTGGCCAATTGATGTGGCCATTAGCAGTCTTATGTTTTTGCTGAAAGCATGACAGAGACCCTGTACACAATTTATGCTGCCTTGTTATGCTGCCTTGTCTGAAGAGGGGCAAAATAAATACTATAGAATTGACTTACTCAAGGAATACCACATGTTCATTTAGCAATGCATTTGTTTGCTTAGTGAATCCTGTATTTTTACATTCCCTTGAAACTTATTGGATATAAGTAAAGGTAACAATGCTTCACTTTATTTGCTAAGCTAAGTGAACATTCACTTTACTAAGTCAACATTTTCTATGTTGGTCTACAAAACCCTATGACTTATGTACAGTAAGCACTTACAGCCATATAATTAAAAGCTTCTGCTGAAAGAATAAATTGCCACTGAAACTTACATTTTATGATAACACCAACTGCTCATCTTTTATATTCTCATGGCTCTTGTGGCTTAGTTTGTGACTGCTATCACAGTCAAAAGTTGTTTGGAACAGGCAAGCTGTAGCAGAAGAAGACTACATTTTTACATTAAATATATTGTTCTCGTTGTCAGCTGGAAAGACTAATGCATAAAAATAGTATGGCGGTGGTGCCTTTTGTTGACTATTGATAAAACACATTCAATCATCATCTTTCATAATTAAAAGAAAGAACAAAACACCTCATGAGATATTGTAATCATAATTGCCATTTTATGCCTTTCACTGTTGCCTCACAATATAACAATGTAAGCCTAAATACTTTCACTTCTTCATTTTCAAAATGAGTCTCTGCTTCTTTATAATGAAAATACATAACATTTATACCTATACCTATACCTATACAGTATATGTTAACACGAATAGACAAGCCGTTATATTCATTTGCTGACATTCTATGTTCCTGACTTTTGTGACAACATTTATTTTGGTGTGAGGAATCAAAAAGAGAACTCAGTATAACAACCGAGAGACAAGCCAAACAAGTAGAACTTAAATTCATTTACAAGATTACATCATACTTTCTAATTGTCTACAGATGTTCATGTGTCATCTGTTCAAATGTGGATGCTAAGCAAATGTCCTGACATGTCTGATCAAAAAATACACAAATGACATGACAAATAAACAAGCTTTCTGTCTTGTTTCCAGTTCCTTCTCCAGATGTTTGACATTGTATGTACTGTAACCTGGACAAGTAGAGATAGATGCTGTGACATCCCTGCAATGGTAAGTAACCAACAAATATTGCATAATAAAGGAATCCAGTGGTTACAGCAGTATCATCTTCTGTACATTCGCTTCTGAAATAAATGTTTTTTGTTCTATTTTTTTTAACTTTTTTAAAAAAAAATCTAAATTTGCAATATCTTGTTCCTTCCACCAGCTGTCCAATAATACTAACCTTAAAATCTCTGTCCCTGTAATTCATAAAGAGTTTTGTAGACACTTATTAGGAATCTGTCTCCCGCCTGTGCAACAAATAGCGCAACTTTATGTAACTCTGGGGACATCAGCTTCTATATTTTTTACTGACAGTAAAAATATTGGTTTGTTCCCTGTGACTGTAGCAGTCATCACTACTACTACTACTACTACTACTACTACTACATCATTCCTGTGCTTCATTCCTGTGCTTCAATCTTAAAATAATACTTACTGGTCTGAGTGACCTATGGACAAAGAGCTATAGAATGCAGAATTGACAAAATGCTTTCTTAACAGTTCTCACAATGCCGCAATTGGTAATAACTGGATCATGAGAATTTGTGGCTTGAAAACAATTGTTTTTCCTTAATATCTGTATGAGATCTGCCCAGTTACAAAGTTCATAAAAGGACAAATCTGTGTACATATACTTTGGTAAAATACAAATGTAGCAATTTGCCAATTTGGCTGATTTGGACATAAACTTGCTCATTACTACACAATATTTTGAAGATGCTGTGGAATGCACTGACTTCAAGTTGATACTTTAAGTACAAGTACAATTAGAAGGTCACTAGATAGGTTGATACTGTTTATTAGTCCACTGCCTGTCTTATAATGTCAGAATAGTCCAGTGGCATTGACCTTAAAATCAGTTATCAGCCTTTGTTACAGCTCTCACTGTTACAGGTACACGTATCTATTAAAAGGCCAATGTGCAGATCACACAAGCATCTTATTAATAAAAAAAAGAGAGGTCAGAGGGTGATTCAGTATGCAGCTTGTAACCAGATATGAATATAACTTTTAGGTGGCCTGGTTCTTAAAAGTGGCATAATATATCTAATTTAGTACAACCCAAAGGCACTTAGATCTACTTTACTTCGTTTTTTAAATCATATATTCCAAGTAACTTGAAAGGTGTACTTACTAAATCAATACAAAAAAAGATGAGGATATTCAAAGATCACCCAGCAAACAAGATCCTCTAAATGATTTGCTAAAGCATATGCTCATTAAATATGCAAATAAAGATGTTTTTTCTGCTTTATATAAACATATGTTGCTTTAAGGAATATGTGCGTACTTCTTAAAAAATTGCTCACTAATGTGTAAAGGTGGATACATCAAACAACCTGTATATAGCTCCCAAAAACCTGTATGCTGCTATATCAGTGAAAATAAGTAATTTTATCATACCACAATTTATCATACCACAAGCATTCACAAGCAGAAGCATATGCACAATGTGATACACCTGCAAACCATACATTGTGGCTTCTTTGCACAAGAGAGCTGGTGCTGCTCTCTTGTGCATCTCTGAGCACTGGAGCTGGTGCTGCTTAGCAAAACATATTTATTTATGGAATAACCATATGTCTGCTGCCATAGTTGTGTGCATCTCCACAAGCATTGTATGTGCTTAGTCGATAATGTGAGAGTACGCTTTGGTTGGTCAGTCTAGTTAGAGAATGCATTAATGAGACTGCGAGTGATCATATTATTTGGTAAATCAAACCCATAGGCTTGTGCCTTTGATTTATTTTGCTGGTCATAGTGTCTGTGAAAGGCTTAAGCATAGTTTTAAAGAGATTAGATTATATATCCAGTGATTTTGGTAAAAGTCTGTTGAGTTGCAGGATTGTGTAATGCACCTCATAAATCACTGCAGAGTTTCGCAAGGCTAAAGTATCACATAGTGACATTTGCAAAAACAAGATTAAGTTGCCAACTCATCAAACCTTTCTGGTAAAGATATTAAAGCCACGTATCCTAATAACTCATTGGCTAATATTTACCATGTTTTTATCATCTAGCTGATTACACAAGTACTCTCTACTTAGCACAAGAAAAGATCTAAAGTGGTATCCAGTCTGAATGTAATTAATAAAAAAACCTTGCCCGGAACAAAAGCCTTTCACATATTGTATGTCTCTAGAATGCTGGGAAGATATACAAAGAGGCGCTGCAAAAGCAAATACATTGTTGGCAGTTTGCGTATAATAGAAAAATATACTATGGGGAAGTAGCCTTGCTTGAAACCATATGTGGCATTCCTTACATCATCTGTTACTCAAGTGTCAGCCAAATTTAAACAAAGTTGGTATATTTGGTAAGCAAAGATTCCCATCTCCACTTACGTAATCATCTCTTGTGATTGAGACTGATGTGATTTCTTACAATGTAGTTGCACACACCTAATGCATTGGGGTTGATTTACTAAAGGCAAATAGACATTTCTCCTTGCAAGGGAATTTGGACTTTGCAGGGGAAGTTTTCCCTTATTTTGGTGAAGGTGGTGAAGACAAATAATACCCAATCATATGCAAGGAAAATAAAAAACAGTATTTTTTTCTTGAACATGATTGAGTGATGGAGGTCAGCTGAGTTTCAACTTAATCCCATGCAGAGTGGAATATCTGTTTGCATTGAATAAATCAACCCCATTATGTTTAATGATGGGAATTTTCACTGACAGTCTCAGAGGTTGCCCAAGTTTGCTCCCAGTATCTATTTTATTACATTCCCATTGGTATGTTGCAACTAAAGTAATCCAATTGTGTTTCCTAATGCAGGAGCTGTACAACTTTTTAATTTTGTTTGGTGAAAATACCATCCATAGTGATCTATGCCATATATTTAGGGTACCTAAACACCCCTGTCCCTCAAAAGGTTATCTTAACAGGTTATACAGTGAAATACATTGTTTTAAGACTTCACCTATTGTTCTGGTACCTCAACTAAGCTTATTAATAAAAAGAAAAGTTGGATCTTTGATCTCATTCTTCAAAGTTATAAAAAGTATACAACATTAGTTAGTTGATTTATTTTTCATCAACTTGGCTATAAAAACAAAAGTGCAGATCATGATTTTGTTTTGGCCCAGAACATATTGCTGTTTAAAAAACATTCATAAACTTTTGCCCATGCATCACAAGCTCCTAATTGGCAACACACAAATTAATGTGACAACTGATACTATGACATTGCAGGACATTAGAGTCTTATGATATTTTTAGAAACAAATCTGCATGAGTGAATGTAAAACACATTTTATTTCATTTCCAAGGTGTAATATTTATGCTGATCTTTTTTATTTCAGAGAGATGAAGCTAAATGCCCAGCAATGCCACATGCTTGTACCTGTGCACAAGACAGTATTGGAGCTCCAGGACCACCAGGCCCATCTGTAAGAACATTTTCTCTTTTCATCATTTGTTGGCTCAAATATTTAGACCAACTTCTGTCTGGGTTCTGTTATTAATATTTCTCCCAACCAACTTGGATTAAAAAGTGAATCCATTTTTAAAATGTTTTTATTGAAAATAATAATTTTGTGTATTCAATTGCCATTTGTACATAAAATGGCTAATTTTTTTCTATTGTCATAATAAAATGGTATTTAATGGAAACATTAAGGTGTCTATTCACGAAGAAGCCGAAGGATCTAGCCATAGTTTCGGCCGATCCTTTGGCTAGCTTCGGCCCCAGGACCCCTTCGGTTCAGTAGAACCGAAGGGCTGCTGTACGGGCTATTAACTTGGCCGAGTGGCTCAGTCGAGCCGAAGGCATATGCCTCGGCTCGGCTGAGCCGCGCTGAAAGCCGAAGCTGGCCGACAGCCTGCTTCTGGCAGCTGGGCGGAGCCAGCCGTGATCTTAAGGCTGGCTCCGGCCACTTGCAGAGAGATCAGCGTCCCTGGTTACCAGTTAACCAGGGACACTGATCTCCAGACAACAAACTCTCCCGGGCGCTCCGGGAGTCTCCTGCTCCCGGCTGCCCAGGAGAGAAACACTGTTTTTTCTGTTTTTTTCTTTATTCTGACACAGAGCCGTATCAGAATAGAAAAAAATAAAAAATTTTTGCCCATTGGAATGCATTGCTAGATTCCTATTGGCTATTTCAATTAGCAATAGCCAATAGTAAACTAGCATTGCACCCGCCCTCTGCTGATGGACCTGATGGAGAACTGCAACAGAGGGTGGGTGCAATGCTAGTTTACTATTGGCTATTGCAAATTGCCAATAGGAATCTAGGAATGCATTCCAATGGCAAAAATATATATTTTTTTTCTATTCTGACACGGCTCCGTTTTTTTTTTTTTTTTTTTTTTTTTTTTACGGCAGCAGAACCGCTGGC